CTCAACAGGTAGCCATCTTTAAAAGAGGACCTATATGCAGAGGTGGGCTGCACTTTCATTGGCAAGGGATTTGCTGATCATGAGCACGTGTGCTCACGCGCACCTGTTTCAGTCACACACCCTGCTTTGGGGCTGAAACGTAGCTTCAAACAGGCAGCCAATCGACTCAGGCAACTCTGGTGAGTATAGCAAGGTGGAGTGAAGCTCACCTGGGCAGCCTGGGCAGGGGAAACGTTAGTTATTTAAGGAAAGCATAGCATAAGGACAGGTGGGTGGGTCTAGCCAGAGATCAGAGCTAGGGGCTTGCCCGAGTCCCGCAGACCACCCAGCAGCCCATCACTGGCTATATGGCAACATTAGACCAGCTTCCTGGTCCATGGCTTCACAGGAGGTATGCAACTTGATTTCTAGGTGGAAACTAAGCAAAACTCTGCATATGTTTAGCCATCAGATGTCACACAGCATCTGCTGGGACTCACTGGGGCATAGTATCTTCCTCCCCGCTGTGACTTTGCGGACATAACACCAAGATGTAGCACACTTAAGGAGGATAATTATCTTCAACTTAAACAACAGATTGCGACAGACTTGATAAAATGGGAAAATTTACAATTATTACGGATTGGGAGAATATCTACAATTAAGATGAATGTATTGCCTAGAATCTTACACTTATTCCCAGACAATTCCAATCAGATTTGAGAAAGAATTTTTTGAAGATTTAAGCAAAATAGTGCTAAAATACGTTTGGCAGGGGAAGAAAGCAAGAATAAAACTTAAATTGCTACAAGATGCAAGAATAAGAGGAGGATTTGCTTTGCCCAATTGGGAATTATACTACCAAGCGATGAGTCTGATGTGGGTAAAGGAATGGATAACGCTAAGGAATACTAGACTTTTGAATTTAGAAGGATATGACTTGCTGTTAGGGTGGAATGCTTTTCTCTGGCATAAGGGAACTAAAATGCAGGGGTATTTTAGAAGACATTATATTCGAGAAGCATTGTTTCTAAACTGGGAGAAAATAAAAAAGCAATATTATTTAAAAAATGGTTATCTACTACTATTGTACAAAATAAAAACTTTGCTTTTTTTAAAAAAAGAATGGAAGGCTGAGACAACCTTGAGCCTGGTGAGAATCAAACTGCTGGCAGTCGGCAGAATTAGCCTGCATTCCAAGCGCCGTGCCACCACGTTAACCTATCAAAGCAAAGTCTTCAAAACAAATCAGCAAATCTAAAAGAAAAGGCCCCATAGGCTGACCTGAAATAAACTAAAAGCTCCCCTTGTTCTCCTCATCTTGAAAACAACAATAACATAACCCCTTAATACTTAGGTGGAGTCTGGCCTCATCAGTGTTGAGTATTAGTCAGCAGAGGAGATAGCAAGAACCACAAGTGTGGTTCAATTCAACTGTGAGAGCCCTCAGGAATCTTACCTGACTTACAGAAGCGAAACTTGCTACTCCGAACATCAATTCCAACAGAAACTGGACCAATCTTGGCCACAACCTCCTGGTCCTTTTTCATTCCCCTCCATGATCTGTCCGTTTGAGTTACATCTGGTAATAGATTCCTCGGGATTATAGTGACAACCCTTCCCTTTCTGCAGAAGGAAACAGTGATCCTAAGAAAATGTTGCAGTTGATGGGCTTTAATAGTAATTGTCTCCACCCAGGACTCAAGCCTTTTCCATCCTATTGCTGGAGGCGTTATCAGCTAGAGACATAGAGCAGAACAGTTCAGCTTGAAGCATGAAGAAGGAATGAACCGGGAGATACACAAATCCGATCATTTATTACCTGTCTGTCATAAGGGTAGCTTTTCTCTGAATTGATCCCACCTTCCTTCCGCACAGTGTCAAAAGCTAGGTGCATAAATCCACCTTCGCATCCATCATTCTCCTCAGAACAGTCGATAAGATTTTGTTCACGCAGCAAGACCAGCATCCCCGCCTTCTTGAAATGCATGACCTTCCAGACCACCAGTGGCACTGAAGGCCCAGCAAGAGCCACAAGAACCAGATATGTCTTGTCTAACAAAAAGAAGAACCAGGGGCCTTATTCTTGACGGAAGTCTTCCACTGTCTCACCTCATGGCAGTGACACCAACAGCCCCATCGAGCAAGAAACCGTGTGGGCATTGACAGCCTACTTTTACTGTGGCCAATTGCCGGTCGCGCATGGTGCCTCCCAGCCTCCATTTTGACATCGGAAGCAAAGGCCTCTAATGGTGAAACAGAGGCCGGGAGGTGCCACACACATATCTGGAGTTAGTTTCTCAGCTGCAGAAACCCTTCCTGAAAGCCTCTGATGGTTAAATGGAGATCGGGGGCAAAGTGTGCAAGTGGCCACAGAAGAAGTGGACCGGCAAGGCGAGGCAGCTATTGGGGCAGGGGATGCTTTGCTGCAACTGTCCTAAGTGGGTGCGGGGCATGTGGGGCAGCTCCACCTCCCAACATCCCCACCCTAATTTGATTTTTATTCATGCACCTCACCCCACCTCGTGCAATGAGGGCAGGGTCTTCATTAGGGCTTATTTTTTGAGAGGGGGGGGCTAAGTCTTATATTGGGCACATGTGTAAAAATAAAGTTAGGACTTATTTTCTGGATAGGTCTTGTTTTCAGGGAAATGCGGTACTTAGGCCTAACTAAAATATAGCATGGGCTAAGGAGAGGAAGAGCTAGCAATACACAATGGATACCAATTAAATGGTAACAATTGGCAGAACAGCTGGTATCTGACTCCTTCTCAGTGTCCCTCTTTGGGCTGTTAATAGAAGAAAATAGTTGTAACTGTAGCTGAAAATTGGATTGTGGGATCCTTGGTGCTCTCTGAGCTCGGTTGCGTTGTTGCAGACATTTCACAACCCAACTAGGTAACATCATCATTATTGGAAAGAAGATTGCAGATTGCTGTTTATATACAAGTGCTTGCCCTGTTAATGTTGGTGGGAGTGTTGTTTTCTTCATGGTAGTTCATTAATTAGGCTGTTGTTTACTGTCAGCTTCTTCGTCTCAGTTGATAGTTCCTTTGTTGGAGTCTCATTTACTTCTTGAGTAAAGATTTTGTTACCTGACTAGGGAACATCATCCCTATTTGTTCTATTGCCAGGACAAAGCAGACTCGAAAACCAGACTCGAAATCAGCTCTTTATTAGCAACCAGTAACTGCAACTAAAGTCGAGCTGCGGCAGCCCTTTTTATAGCGGCTGTTTGCGGCTCGCAACCAATGGCATGTGTTTAAACTTCCCGCCGCTTATGCGGCCAGTCGGAACCCGTTGTTCTTAACCAATCGTTATGCTGTGTTAACTAACCAATACGAATGTAGTATTAGAAGTCTATATGTGAATACACTACAGTGTTGGTGAATGTGCGGTTAAAATATAGTAGTATGTCTTGCTAGTATTGGTAGGATTGTGGTTTTCTCTTTGGAAGTGCCTTGATTAGGACATTGTTTTTTTTGCTGGACTGTTTGTCTGGTATGAATCCTTGCTTATCTGGGTGTTAACACTAGCACAGCTGGTCTATATGCATCCTTTAATTTGGGTTTTACTCTGCAGATTGACTCCACCATTGTGGCTTTTTAAAAAAGGGAGTATTAGCAGTATGATTCCCCAAAGGAAATGTTAGTCACTTCCCACCCAGCGGTCTGTGTTCCCTTTCAGTCCCATGACGACGTATAATTCTTTATAATTTCTTACAAAGAATTGAAGCTAGCAGATACAACATAGAACTTGACTGGAAATAAAACATATTTTAGATGTGATTTGGAATGCCAAGTTTTTGTTTTTTTAAAAAAATAGCTTTAAACTCTTGGGAATAGCAGCTTTAAAAATTGAAATGAAATCAAATATTCTTACACGCATGCACACACACACACACACACACACACACACACACACAGAGGGGAGGGCGGGAGGAGAGGGAGAGAGAGAGATCCTTGGAAGTTGGATGTTTTTGGCTTAGCATCTTGGCTGAATTCAATTTGTGTAGTTTATAATAGCTTATAGTTAATGTGTTCCATAAACCAATAGGCTTATTTGAGTTGAGAAATTAGAAATCATATCCAAATCAGACTAGCACTGATGATGTTACTTACTGCAGTTGGGTAACGAAATGTCCACAAGAAAATAACCAACCATCAACAGCTCTACAAATCCTATCCTGTCTGATATGTGCCACAGGGACACATATGCCATCACACAGGATGAAAACGATATCTGGACGTAGAGGTTGATACTTGTATGTTACAGGTAGCTTTTGCAGATGACAAATGAGAATCAGAAGGCTCCTAACAACTGGCTTGTTAGAAGTTATCTGAAACTGGATTTGTATGAAACCTCTACACAAAGGATATCTAACCGTAGCAAGTTTAAGACCTGTGGACTCTGGTGAATTCTAGGAGTTGAAATCCACAAGTTTTAAAGTTGCCTAGCTGGGCATACTTCTGCTCTATACCTTTAAAGATGGACACGGCGGCTTGGTGGCTAAGACACTGAGCTTGTCGATCAGAAAGATCGGCGGTTCGAATCCCCAGCACCACGTCACGGAGTGAGCTCCCATGACTTGTCCCAGCTTCTGCCAACCTAACAGTTTGAAAGCACATAAAAACGCATGTAGAAAAATAGGGACTCCTTTGGTGGGAAGGGAACAGTGTTCCGTGCACCTTCGGCGTTTAGTCCTGCCGGCCACATGACCACAGAGACGTCTTTGGACAGCGCTGGCTCTTCGGCTTTGTAACGGAGATGAGCACTGCCCCCTAGAGCTGGAAACGACTAGCGCGTTATATCTGAGGGGAACCTTTACTTTTACCTTATACCTTTAAACCCATACAGTGAATTGTTAGATCTTTCCATGCTTGGAAAAGACTAGATGTCTCAGACATTCTGAATTCCACGAGAAGAGGTGCCAGCATTGATAATACCGTGGCGTGCATTCAAACTCAGACACATCATAAAACAGTCAGGTGCCAGATTGGATCATAGGAAGCATTGCGTCAAAGCGTTTATTGATTTTAGCGTATATATGTATGTATGTACGTATATATTCTGGTTCTCCAGAAGCTTCAGAAACTGCAGATTATTCCTGGGGGAATTTTTCGTCCCGCTTGCTCAAATGGTCCACTTGGCTGGTTAGGGAATGGGGTAGCAAGCTATGTTGGCAATGCCTAATTGATTTGATCCTTGTTCCAAGAGCATGTATCCGTCGTGTCCCCAAACATGAGACCAACTGTGAAGAAACGCATGCAAGACATTCATTTCAAAAATGTGTAGGTCAGGGGTCCCCAACCTTCAGGCCGTGGACTGGAACCGATCTGTGGCCCAGAGGTGGTATTCAGCGGGTTCTGACCAGTTCTGGAGAACTGATAGTGGAAATTTTGAGCAGTTTGGAAACCGGCAAATTCTCCGCCTCCCATTGAGTCCCAGCTGATTGGCTGGGTCTCCTTTGGTTGCTCTGCACAGGAGAACGGAGCTGGAAAGCAGGTTAGTGGGGTGGGGAGGGAAGGGGGATTTTGCACAGGATCCTTCCCCTGCATGCCCACCAAGGCACACCGACCAAGCAATGCCCGCAGAACTGGTAGTAAACATTTTTGAATCCTACCCCTGCCGTGGAAATTGGGCCGCACAAGCGGTGGGCGAATAGGTAAAGGTTCATTTGCGCATGTGTGGGAACTAGACCGCGCATATGAAACCATTCACCCCACCCACTCCACCCCCGTTGCTGCTGCTGGTCCATGGAGCTAGAATTGTTGGGGAGTGCTGGCATAGGGAATCATGCCGACTGGGGAATTCTGGGAGTTGCAGTCCACGCATCTTCAAGCAGCTAAGCTTGAGACAATCTGCAATAGTAGAAGCTCCTCTCTAGTGACCGCTCCTGCCAGCGTCCCCTTCCCTTCACTCACCTATTCTTCAAAATCCAATGCTCGGTGCTGTTATAACCAACCACTAGCATGGCATGAGTTATGCGTGGGTCTCCAACCCAGGGATTTTTAAAGATACCTAGAGAAAGAGGAACAAGAAAACATTTAACAGATTAACAGAGCGGGAAGGGGCCTTGTAGGTCACCTAGTTCTAATCCAACCCCCTGCCCAAGCAGGAGACGCTACACCATTTCTGACAGAGGGCAGACCAGTCTCAAGTGATGAAGGTCCCTCAATTTCTGAAGGCAACTTCTGTTCCATGGGTTGATTGTCCTCATGGTCAGGAAATTCCTCCTTATTTCGAGGTAGAATCTCTCCTTGCTCAGTTTCCACCCATTATTCTTTGTCTGGCCTTCAGGTGCTTTGGAAAACAGCTTGAGCCCCTCAAATAGCAATAGCACTCAGACTTCTGTACTGCTTCATAGTGCTTTTACAGCCCCTTACAGAGTCAGCCTATTGCTCCCAACAATTTTGGGCCCTCAAATCACCCAACTGAGAAGGACGGAAGGCTGAGTCAACCTTGAGCCTGGTGAGATTTGAACTGGCCAAACTGCCATCAGCTGGCAGTCAGCAGAAATAGCCTGCAGTACTGCATTCTCACCACTGTTCCACCATGGCTCAGTATGGGAACATTTGGTTAAACGAAAGATCCATGCTTCTTTGCGAGATCATCTGGATTTCCAAAAAGAACAGCCAGGAATGTCACTCCACCTTAGAATTTACTCTTTTTAATGGGAGCACCTCTCGTGTAAAAGAGGCACTCCTGAAGAGCTCTTCAGATATTTTTCAAGGAAAGTATGTCTTCCTACCTGGACTAATAATATTCACCCTCATACACAAGTTGAAGATTGCCCATCTATGATGTTGGATATCAGTCAATCAAAGGAACATTCAAAGTTCAAATGTTCTGACCTCGGCTTCCCCCAAAAGCACTAAGCCAATTCTTTGTCCCGGCAAAACCCCTTTTATTAAACGAAGGTGAATTTCTTGCATTCACCTTCAGCCAAAGGCTTGGCAAACAGTCTTTCAAGGGTCTAATTAGGAGCACAGACCTTATCTAGCCTGGGGAGCTGCCAAGTAAATATTTCCAAACGCAGTGATGACAAGGAAGGATTTGGCAGAGAGTCACAGGCAGATCTTCACACTGCTGCAATGAAGGAATTGTTTCCTGCAAAAGCCCCCTCCCCTTTTGCTCCTCTTTTAATCCCTACGGGAGGGGTCATCCGCCATCCACCTGTGGCCTTACTCCCATGTCGACCCTGAGTTCGTAATTGTTCTTTCCTTTCGGCGCATGCGCAGGCTGGGAACAGGCTCCAGCTGCTCCCCCGCTTCACTGCCGTCTGAGCCCGAAGGCAGCTGATGTCTGCCAGCCTGCCCCGGCCCCATCTCTGCCTCTGGCGCAGAGCCCTTGTCTGAGCCTTCCTCAGCCTCCAGGACTGGCCCAGTTTCCTCCCCAACCTCCTCACTACTGTCTGACTCTGCTGCCAGCCCGGCCACAACAGAGCCCCCCCCCCTCCTATTCTGCAGAAACCTTACCCGACTTGTAAAAGCGAAACTGGGAGCTCCGAGCATCCACTCCGACAGTAATTGGGCCAACCGTAGCCACCGCCTCCAAGAGGGCCTTTTCATCTCCTGCCAGGATGGTCCCCGTTGCGGAACACTTCGTGATAGAATTCTCCGCTTCATAACGACACCTATAATAGTCCTGCAGAAAAATAAAGAGCGACCAGAGTTAGTCCCAAAGAGAATACAGAATAAGAGAGTTAGAAGGTCTTCTTGTCCACTTGCATGAACAGAGGGATCTAATCAAGATCAAGGGAGGTACTAATACCACTCTATAAAGCCCTAGTAAGACCACACCTAGAGTCCTGCATCCAGTTTTGGTCAACTCATTATTAAAAAAAAGATGTTGAGACCCTAGAAAAAGTGCAGAGAAGAGCAACCAGGATGATGATGAGGGGGCTGGAGGCTAAAACATACGACGAACGGTTTGCAGGAACTGGGCCTGGCTAGTCTAGGGAAGAGAAGGACCAGGGGAGACAGGAGAGCAGTCTTTCGATATTTGAGGGGCTGCCCCAGAGAGGAGGGAAGGGGTCAAGCTATTCTCCAAGGCACCTGAAGGCCAGATAAGGAATTGTGGAAAGGGAACTTCATGAGGACAGTGGTGATACCCAAGCAGGAAAAGCCCAAAGGGAACATCAGGCCAGCCATAAAACAAACTTGCATAGGAAAAGAGATTTGATAAAAGGTATTGAAAGAAGCCCCCTAGACAAAAACCAAGTAATTAAGAAAGCTAGGGAAACAAGAAAAAGAAATCCCTTACAAACAAAAGGTCATGCCAAATCAGCAAAACAAATAGACAAAAGATACAAAATAAATTCCATAGCAGACAGGAGATTGCCACCAAACAAATATAAGAAAACATTAGGATGAAACTGATAATCCAATCAAACCACCCCGCAGAGTTTACCCTCTGGCGGAAATGAAGACAACCCCCTGACAGGATTTAAAACATTAAGAAATACAAACACAAGCACTCACACACAAAAGGAGAAAAGGTATAAAAATCAGGAGTTTATTATACAAAGTTGGCTAGCCCCAGGAACGCAGACTTCTTGCTATCTCTTGCCTTCCTGAAGAATAAACCAGCTTCCAAGCAGTTGTCTGTGTCCCAGCAGGAAAACCGAATCCTCAGAAGAAAGGCATTTTCCAGCCTTTCAACAGAATAATGGATGGAAACTGAACAAGGAGAGATTCAACCTAGAAATAAGGAGACATAGTTTGAAGCACACACAGGAAAACATAGTGAATTACCTGTCCATCATATGGGTACTTTTCCTCTGAATTGATGCCTCCTGCATTCTGCACGTATTCAAAAGCTTGGGACATAAGTCCACCATTGCACCCATGGTTCCCTTGTCCCTCTGAACAGTCGATCAGATTTTGTTCGCTCAGCGAGACCAGCTTCCCTGTCTTCTTGAAATGCATGCCTTCCAGAGCACCAGTGGCACTGAAGGACCAGCAAGAGCCGCAATCACCCTGCGCAAAAACAAAACTGCAATGATGTACGGAGCAACCCAATTGATGTTACTTGTTTGTGGTTCTCGGTAGGAGGCAGCTGGACAAGATATGAGTTCCGATAGGGGAGAGAATATACGCATCTCGGGGTTGTAAGGAAGGCTCCTTGGTGCTCTCTGAACTTGATTGATTTTTTTTGCAGACCTTTCGTGACCCAATTAGGTAACACCATCAGTTCTAGACTAGAGTGGGGTTTGGGAGTAGAGGAGGAGGAGGAGGGGGGGGGGAGGAGGGGGGGGGGGGGGGGGGGGGGGAGGAGGGGGAGGGGGAAGGAGGAGAGGCAGGAGGAGGAGTGCTATTTTCTGAGCTTAGTCATTTTCTTGCAGACGTTACATTACCCAACCAGGTAACATTATCAGTGCTAGAGAAGTTTTCTTTTTCTATATGAGTTCCAGCGTCACTGAAGCTTCCAAGGTGCAGTTTAGAGAGGAAAGAATTTAGTTTCATCTCCAAGTTTTCATGAATCCACTAAATTCTGACTTGGGCCTAAATAGGCAAATCACCCTTCTTTTTCCTTAAAAGCATCTCTACATCAGTCCTCGATTTATGCTTTATCCACCCAGGCTATTCAGCACTCACCTGATCTTTGACCTCGGTCACCGCACCTTTGGCTCGCCAGTCCACCTCAGTGGGAATCTGCGGGTTTTTGGAGGATTTGAACGTGACTACGTTCTTTCGAGTAGCAAGATCCATGTCAGGAAGCAAGCAATCCAGCCTCTCGTTAATCTCTTCATTAGTCTGAGGATTGCAAAGAGTATCAAATTCAAACATCAGTTACCGGAGCCAGTTTGGTCCTGTAGTTCAGGCGCCAGGCTAGAAGCAAGAAAACTTGTGAGTTCTAGTCGCATCTTAGGTATCAAAGCTAGCTGTGTGACTTTGGGCCAATCACCAGGAGTCTGTGAGTTCTAGTCCCGCCTTAGACATGAAAACTGGCTGGCTGACTTTGGGACAATCACGAGGAGTCTGTGACTTCTAGTCCTGCCTTAGACATGAAAGTTGGCTGGGTGACTTTGTCCCTTTCTCTCTCTCGGCACAATCCACCTCAGAGGATCGTTGTCGGGAAAATAGGAGGAGGAAGGTATCTTGGAAACTGCCTTGAATTATTTGTAAAAAAAAAAAAAATTGAGGAAGGCAGGATATAAATTAATTGAATTAAATGAACTAAAAACTGCTCCGGTTCATTGACGGAGATGGGCACCTATAGAAACTGAGCATACAAACATCTCTGCCTAGTAAATAAATAAAACTAGCCTTGATCCAGACTTACCAAATCACCAAAATGGTTCATGCCAAGCCAGTAGGCGTATTTCCCCAGGTCAGCCTGGCTGTTATGGTCTTGGATCATTTGCAAATTCTTCTCCCACACGGCTCTTCGAAAAGATTCTTCGTCCTGCTGGAAAGCCCAAACCAGGAAAACTTCTAAGTCCCACCTGCCTAAACAAGTGGAAGAGACCTTGGAGGTCTTCTAGTCCAACCCCCTGCTCCAGCAGAAGACCCTCTGCCATCCTGGTCCAATGATTGTCCGATCCTTTCTCTCTTTTTTTGTAAAAAAAAAAAAATTGTTATTTTTATATTTCAATAAATATATTTTTATATTTCAATAAAAATAAAAATTGTTATTTTTATATTTCAAAAGCATCTCTTTGGGTGAACAGCGTGATTCCAGGTTTTTACGTTTCCATACAAACCTTAGTTACATAGTCATCTTTCCCATTCAGATGTATGGGATCATTTACATCGTATCATTTACATTTCATATTTTTCTGTAAATTTCCTCAGATATTCTTATATTCTTCACATTCATTTTATATATTTTCTATTCATATCTTATTTCTTTTTTATTTAAATAATTCTCCTGTCTTCATATTCATTATACTTTTATCTGTCATATTTACAATTTCATCGCACTTTTATTTCATTATTTAAAAAGTCCTGTCTTAATTCTAATAATTCAAAAAATTCCCCCTTTAATTACTAACTAATTTGAGTGTACCACCCCTTTACACCCCTATACATCATATAATTAACTCCTTTTTGATTCATAACAATGATTTATCACAATATAGTCACTTTTTAGTTATCGCTTTATAAGTTGTCCAATCCTTTCTTGAGAATCTCCGGTGATGAAGCAGCCACAGCTTCTGGAATCAAACCCTTCCACTGGTTCATTGATCTGGGAATTACTGAATAGCAGGGTTATTAGGGACCTTGGAGGTCATCTAGTCCAACCCCCTGCTTGAGCAGACCTTATCCCCAATTCCGAGTGATTTGCAAGGATGCCACGTGCCAGACAGGAGGTGCGGGGAGGTCACACTATTTTCCAAAGCACCTGAAGACAGGACAAGATACAACGGATGGAAACTAACCAAGGAGAGAAGCGACCTAGAACTAAAGAGAAACTATTGAACAATGAGGAGAATTAACCAGCGCAACGGTTTACCTCCAGAAATTGTGGGTGCTCCAACACTGGAGGTTTTCAAGAAGAGATTAGATAGCCATTGGTCTGGAATGGAGTACTTGAGCAGGGTGGGGGCGTGGACTAGACGATCTCTAAGGTTTCCTCCAACTCTGTTATTTTGTTATTCTATTAAAACATTATGGAGTGGTATATATCTAAATGCTATTGCTATTAGGAGTGCAGAGAAGAGCAACCAGGATGATGAGGGGACTGGAGGCTAAAACCTATTGTGGAAAGGGAACTTCATGAGGACAGTGGTGATACCCAAGCAGGAAAAGCCCAAAGGGAACATCAGGCTAGCCATAAAAGCAAACTTGCATAGGAAAAGAGATTTGATAAAAGGTATTGAAAGAAGCCCCCTAGACAAAAGCCAAAGTAATTAAGAAAGCTAGGGAAACAAGAAAAAGAAATCCCTTACAAACAAAAGGCCATGCTAAATCAGCAAAACAAATAGACAAAAGACAGGAGATTGCCACTAAACAAATATAAGAAAACATTGGGATGAAACTAATAATCCAATCAAACCACCCCGCAGAGTTTACCCTCTGACGGAAATGAAGACAACCCCCTGATAGGATTTAAAACATTAAGATATACAAACACAAGCACTCACACACAAAAGGAGAAAAGGTATAAAAATCAGGAGTTTATTACACAAAGCTGGCTAGCCCCAGGAACGCAGACTTCTTGCTATCTCTTGCCTTCCTGAAAATTAAAGGAACCTGCTTCCAAATAGCTGCCTCTGTCTGTGTCCTTACTCTGGAGCACTCCCAGCAGGAAAAAAAAGAACCCTTGGAAGAAAGGCATTTGCCAGCCTTTCAACACTATGATGAACAGTTTGCAGGAACCGGGCCTGGCTGGTCTAGTGAAGAGAAGGATCAGGGGAAGACAGGAGAGCAATATTCCAGTATTTGAAGAGTAACCACAAAGAAGAGGCGTGGGTGTGTCAATTTATTTTCTAAAGTACCAGAAGTCAAGACAAGAAACAACAGGTGGAAACAGATCAAGGAGAGGAGCAACTTGGAATGAAGGCAAAACTTTCTAACAGTGAGGACAATTAACCAGTGGGACTGCTTTGCCTCCAGAAATTATAGGTGCTTCATCACCGGAGGTTTTTAAGAAGAAACCGGACAGCTACTTGTCTGGATTGGTATGGAGTCTCCTGCCTGAGCAGGGGGTTGGACTAGAAGACCTCCAAGGTCCCTTCCCAAGCTCTATTCAGCTTGATTCTTTTGACTTCTAGTGGAGCAAACTCACCAAGGCGTATTTTTTATTGTGAGTGGCCTTCCAGGCTTGCCATGTTCCCTCCAGGGTCGGATCCAGAGCTGTGGAGAAGGTTTGCAAGAAGACCAACCAGGCCAGGGCCCCCACCGAGAGGGACAACATTGTCTCTTTCTAGAAGAAGGAAAAGGATCGAAGAACTCAGAGAACAGGATCAATGGGGCAGGCATGCTAAAATTGGCAAGCCAGCAAGATTATTTCAACGAGAAATAAAAGTATTTTGAGGAGCAGAGTCCTCCCTTCCTCAGAATACCTTTTGTCACACCAGGCTTGAAATTTTGGGACCTAGACAACTTAGAACTACGCCGCCTACGGTCTGACTTAAGCTTAGTACACAAAATTGTCCGCTACAACGTTCTACCTGTCAACAACTACCGTACTTCAGCTTCAACCACAATAGTACACAGCGGGCAAACAAATAGATACAAACTCAAGGTAAACTGCTCCAAACTGGATCGCAGAAAATACGACTTCAGCAACAGAGTGGGTCAACGCTTGCAACTCACTATTTGACTCGGTGGTTACATCCTCAAACCCCCAAAACGTTAACCTTAAACTGTCTACCATGGACCTCGCTCCATTCCTAAGAGGTCTGTAACAGGCCGTGCGTAAGTGCACCAGTATGCCTACCATCCCTGTCCTACTGTTCCCATTTAGCTGTACTCATTCATTATGGATCTACTTCGACCCATTTGTACTTATATGTTTATATGTTATGTTCATAGTTACACTTGTTTTCTCATACACGCTTGACAAACTAAACTAAAAAATCAATTACCGGTGGGCGACTGATATTGAATAATAAAACAATTCTATATAAATTGCATCCTATATACTGTAGACCTGTATACTGCCAGAGTCAAAAAGAGGGCTGTGAAAATATCTACAGAGCCCTCACATCCCGGACATAAACTGTTTCAACTCCTTCCCTTAAAACGAGGCTATAGAGCCCTGCACACCAGAACAACTAGTCACAAGGACAGTTTTTCCCCAAACGCCATCACTCTGCTAAACAAATAATTCCCTCAACACTGTCCAACTATTCACAAAGTCTGCAATACTGTCACTATTAACCTTCTCATCACTCCATATCACCCATCCTCTCCCACTTGTGACTGTATGACTGTAAACTTTGTCGCTTGTATCCTTACAATTTATATTGACTGTTTCCTAATATGATTTGATTGCTTATTTGTACCCTATGACAATTATTAATGATTCTTGACTCTTGACAAATGTATTTTTTCTTTTATGTACACTGAGAGCATTTGCACTGAAGACAAATTCCTTGTCTGTCCAATCACTCTTGGCCAATAAAGAATTCTATTCTTTTCCATTCTATTTCATTCTATTCCATTCTTTTACATTCTATTCCATTATACTCTATTCCTGTTCTATTATATTCCTGTTCTATTCTATTCTATTTTCTATTCTATTTTCCATTCTATTCCTATTCCTATTCCTATTCCTATCCCTATCCCTATCCCTATCCCTATCCCTATCCCTATTCTATTCTATTCTATTCTATTCTATTCTATTCTATTCTATTCT